TTGAGGAGAGATCGAGACTTCTGTATAGTTGGAACGAGAACTGGAGTTAAGATATATTGCAAATTAAATTTTGATGTGAAAATTAAGACTGCTTGATCTATTCGGATAACCGAAATAGCTAAAATGCTCCAGGCCCTATTAGCACCTACAGCTGAATTCTCCTCAAGCTTAACAAATGTTACTTCCTTCGTCGACTCATTTTGATTCTTTCTAAGGTCCACTATGAGCGAACATGACTACCAAGTGTTAGCGTCTACATGCATTTGGTAATTTGTTATACGTGTACTCTCGAGAGGAAGTAGACGGTTAAGTAAGTAGCCTTTATATCTGAGCCATGGTTTCTGCTCCCCGAAAGAACGAAATAAAAAATTACTACTCCATTAAAGGCTACATTCGGTGCTGTCTTGCGTTTATGTGAGCGTATTCGCAAACTATCGCTGCCTGAATTTGATTTGGTTGAGCTTCCCTCACCCGAAAGCAGTGTTGAAAGCAAACAACCAGGAGAGAATAAAAGCTTGGTCACCCTAGGTCGCTTAAGACAATTTAAGTAGTGATAGTGGAATTGTCGACAATGATCTGAATTGGCCTCAAAATGATGTATATTTTACTTAGCTATGGCTGCTAAAAGGTTATCTCGCCTAGGCCGGATGGCAGACTTGAATTCGCCTAGATCTCATCAGCATCCCCAACAGGATTAGTAACCAGGTCGTGCACATGAACATCACATGGCTACAAGTTTCGGTGGGCAATGAAGCAGATGAAGATTTGACATTAGGCCATGGCCCTTGAAAACCACATTAAAGTAGAATTGACGATAAGGTAAAATGTTACTTCTATGTTACTATCTTTATGAGTACGTCTTGAAAGTATCGACGGAACTCAATCTACAATAAATCCTTAACTTATCTTAAGCAATCTTATATGGCTAATTACTTCTGCAGTAATTTAAAAGCATACTAACTTAGAATATAGGTAGTGTCGTATTTGTACTAGCAACTACATGTTTGCCTAGTCAATAATCCCACTCTAGATTGGAATTTGGCAAAGCTTGGCCTGCCTCTAGTGGCTCATTTTTCCTAAATAGCTTTAGACAGCAAAGAGCTCGAATAAAATGTCTTAAATATTAAAAAAAACAGCATGTGCATATGGATGTAGGCTTGTCTAGAATTAAAAGTCAGTACAAAATATATTAATAAATGAATAAAGTATTGAAGATGGATCTACCTGACATTTTCTGTCGAAGATTGAGAAATACCACATTGATGGGACAATAATATTGTAATTGCCAAAGGGATCAGGAAATAATACTGCCTAATATCAACTCGAAAATTCGCTCATCTGTCAGTAATCAGTTTTATGGCTAACAGTACATAATTAAGTGCTTTGACTTTCACCCGATCTTATTCTTCTTGTCTATCCCTATCCGCTTCCTGTTCTAGCTGTATCTTTTTTGTACATACCCACATCTTCAAGTGTGGGGTTAGGCATACATGTGCACAACGGCGCCACTTTGTGACGCCTAGTTAGACGCACTAAGATATTTTCTATTTGTTTATCCATATATTCAGCCATCATTCTGTGGCTACTTCCTCTTACTTTTCTTCTTTTTCTTTTTTTTCTTCTTCTTCTTATCCATTCGAAAGCCCACTTTATTAACAGATTT